ACACATGAGTGGAGCGGCGTTTGGACCGGGCCTCAGTCTCGTTAATACTGGCGTTCAAGTTTCGAAAGTCCTTTAAAGTCCCAGACTCTCGAAATAATTAAGAGCGCGAAGTGCGAAACAGAAGCAAGGCGAAGACAGAGCGGTGACGAACACTGCCTTATTCACTCTAACTAATTTTGGGGTATTTCCATCAGAAGGATTGTTTTTCATTACATCATAAGATAAATAAAGTCGTTATGGAGCCAGTTTCAGACTGGCGTTGATACTTTAGTTTACTTTCGGTCCGTAAGAATTCATAGCCATTATCACATGGTTTAGAAAACGAAAATGAAGCACAGAGGTCCGCGATGAAGGAAGTTTCGTTGGACTGCTGAGCCTGTTTATCACGAACAATTTATCTCAGTATCTTCTTCGTAATTGTCCTATCTGTTGTATTTCTAGAAAATTCAACAACATAACTCCGAAGGACACTCATACACCCTGGCTATGAACCAGTTCGGTGATCTGACAGTCGATGAATATCGTTTCTTCTTCCTGGGACTTCGTTCTCACTTTTCCGACGAAACAGAACAACAAGGGTCGCATTTTCTTCCTCCCAGTGGAGTAAGTCTGCCTGATACTGTTGACTGGAGAACCAAGGGATACGTCACTCCTGTGAAGGATCAGGGTACGTGTTTGTTCTCCTCCTGCTCCTCCATCATTATCATCATCACCATAATATTCATCCTCCTCCTCCTCCTCCTCCTCTTCTTCTTCTTCTTCTTCTTCTTCTTCGTCTTCATCATCCTCTTTTTCTTCTTCATCTTCTTCTTCTGAGCCTCTTCTTCTTCAGCTTGTTCTTCTTCTTTTTCTTCCTCCTCCCCTTCGCCTTCTTTTAATTTTGTACAGTTTTCTCCTTAACACTGATTGTACCCTTTGTCAATTTTTTCATTACTGCAGTGTCTTGGATTAGCCAACACGGACCTCTTTTTAGCTCGTAACGCAATATTTTAGGAACCGCGTGACGAAACCAAATTAAGAAGCGTTGCGTTAGGAGGTTGCGCTAATAGTGATTTTGCAAACCCAGTTTAGTAATATGAAATTCCTAGGCCAGGAAACCAGATATTAGGCAAATGTTCTCTTTTCAAAATGAGAGTATGGTTAATTCCAGAAACTGTCTTTAAACAAGGTCGATTTTTAACAATTTCCTATTTTGCCATATAGGCCAGTGCGGTTCTTGCTGGGCTTTCAGCACAACTGGATCACTGGAAGGACAGCACTTCAAGAGAACAGGACAACTCGTCTCCCTCAGCGAACAGAATCTGGTCGACTGCTCCACAAGTTATGGCAATCATGGCTGCCAGGGAGGACTTATGGATAATGCCTTCAGGTACATCAAAGCTAATGGCGGAATCGACACTGAAACTAGTTACCCGTATGAGGCGAGAAAAGACAACTGCCGATATAATCCAAACAACGTTGGAGCTACAGTTACGGGTAAGAGAAGTGAAAAGCTTTAGGGTTTCACGGTCAAACTGGTTTAAAACACGGTAGGGAAACTCTTGGTCGTGCCAAGGTCTCCCCTGCTAAAAGTGACAAGCTGCTCTGGGGACGAAGATAGTATAGAATGAGAACGAGGTTGCGAAACGCTTGGGAACTACGTCCGCCTTTTCTACTGGTATCTTTCTCTTGGGAACTTTCAATTCTAAGGATGTTTTGCTAAATTGTCCATTCGGTCCTTATAGTATCTATACAAAATAATCCAGCTGGTCATAATACTACAGCAACTGATGGCCATACAATATTCTCCATACTGATAATATAAGAAAATATCGATAAGAAAGGAGATTTCGCATTTAATCATCCCCTCTCCTTTGTTTCCAGGATACGTCGACGTCCCTCAAGGAAGCGAAGAAGCCCTTCAGTCCGCCACCGCGACGGTAGGCCCAATCTCTGTCGCCATTGACGCCAGTCATACGTCGTTTCAGTTCTATCACAGTGGAGTCTACAATGAGCAGTAAGTACTTTGTACAATGTTTGTCGCGTTAGCCCTCCTCCTTTGGAATCCGCCTTCCAGATTGCCTTTTAGTTTCCATGGACTATGAGAACTGAGATCATAGTTTCGGAAAACCTTGGGTTTTCAAAATCATTGACATTTTTCGACAGGCCTAATTGCGGGGAAAAGTTCAGGATACGATTTTTTCATGCTATAATTGGGCTCGACAAAGCCTTGCGTGACCATCCATATAGACCCCTACATATACAATGTAACACAATTAGTGTTGTGTGACGGAAAGATAGTAACGATTTCCAAAGGAGTTTAAGGTAGTATGGTACCCTAAAATATGGCGATGTTCATGAAAAATTCAATTTCTTGGAAATACAAGACTTAAGACCCTTGAGGACTTGTCAAAAACATTTTGAAAC